CCTTCGAAATGGAAATTATACTTCTACGCAGTGTTGTATAAACCCTTCTACTCCCCTGTTTTGGGAAAATGTGAAAATAAGAATGATGAATATGTGGGGTTTCTCCTTGTATAAATGATTTTGGTTTGATTTTGTGTATTCTTGATTTGATTCAAAGGGTGTGTATAAGTTTGTGTATGAGAAAGCCAACGATTTTTGAGGGTTTTTTCACGGTTTGATAGCGATTTTTGGCAACCGAACAATGTTTTGGTAGTTTTGTTGCAGGCATGGCTATATTAAAGAGTGATGGTTGGACTGCATCATTTTTTTGGTGCTTATTCTACTAGCAGATACTAGCACGGCCAAACTTGAGTTGCTTCGTATGTATTGACTTATGTTTGTATGTTTGAGCATCACTTGTTTATACATGCCATTGTAAACAATAATAGTAAGTTATCCAACTCCATACTATGTAAAAAATAGTAAGATAAATACGAGATATTGACAGTTAATGTACCTACAAGCATACAATTTTGGGAGTTATTTATAGATTGCGCCTTTGTTTAAACTTGTACGGTAAACTAGTTGTATGTTAAACAAGATGTCTGAGCAACATGAAATCAGTTATTAAGCACCAATATAGAAAAATTGTTTGATTAAGTGAAAATTATTTTCCATTTCGGTTATCAAAAAGATTTTCCATTGCAATAGGTTGTCATTTGTTGCATAAATACCTTCACCCCTAAAGGTAAATGCATGCCATGATTGTCATAATAAAGTTTTAGTAAATATTTGAAGTTTACTAAATAGAAATAATATATATATATATATATATATATATATATATATATATATATATAAGTTGGATCGAGTGATAACTCAAAAATATTGTATTAAAAAAAATAACAGGAGGAGATTTGATTTTATTTATCATCAATATCTTGCGAGAAGATATAGCGTTTTAGTAATTATGTACGAGATGTTGATACATTTCGACGAAGGTTAAAAGTTTTAGGGGTTAAAATGGAAAAGGAATAAACAAAAAAAATACCCAGTTTTCGCCATCCACGCGCCTTCACCCCCCCCACCCCCCCTCCTCATATTTTTCTCCCTTTGGCACTTGCCCCCAGCCATTGGCTCGTGGGTTTTTGTTTCACCCACTTTGTTTTTTGGCCATTGTTTTTTCTTTGAAAAAAAAAATCTAAAAAAAAAACTAAAGTTCTTAAAATTTAATTATCTAAAAAATGAGCACAATCATAAAAATTTGAAAAAATAATATTTTTTTATAAAAAAACCCAGAAAAAAAATCTCCAAAAATCATGAAAAATTAAGGGATACTTCTACTCATTATACTAGTGACTTTGTAAAAAGAGTTTTTGAAACATAAGTTTTTCAAGTGTTTATATTTAATTTTAAGAAATATTAGTTTTAAAAAAAATGTTGAACATAATATGATCCAAAATGTGATGATTCAAAATATTTATGATTAAAAAAAAACTTCTTATTCAACCTAGATTTGACCCCTGACAATTATATGAAAGAACAAGATTTGACCCCTAGCATTGGCAAGGAAAGACCATGATTTGGTCCATGGTAGGATGTGACTGTAAGACTATGATTTGGCATGTAGCATTCACTTGGGGTTGGAGTAGACCCGCTATTTAATATATGATTGTTATGTATGTTATATGCACGTGCATATGAGATTTAGCAGGTCAGTGTCATAGCCGAGGAATAAATTAATTCAAATTTAATCATAATCCAAACCCTTCTAATATTTGAAAATTAGGGTTGGGTTTATCAGGTTTTAGTTATTCAAATTTTAAGGCATTTAAAATAATAACTAATGAAACAATATAAACCCTAAAGGAACTCCCCCAATTTTGAAAATAGGGTTAGGGAGTCTTGGGTTTCAAGAAACCCTAGCAAATTCGAAAATCCAAGGCATTTAGGGTTTAATTTTTATAAATTCTAATTTTAATTTGTTCATTATTATGCACAATCAAATAAAAAACCATGGCTCCGATACCACTATTAGGTTTTATAGGTTATAATTCAATGCATGAGGTGAAATAACTTAACCCTTAAGTTCACATGCAACCTATTTAGATCTAAGTTTTCTCTATTGATCTCTTTCAAAAAAAAGTTTTCTCTACTGATGGCTATAATTTATGAACATCAAGAACCCTAAGGAAGCCCTACAATAATCAGAAATTACATGGGATTAGAGTTTACATACCTTTTAATTATTATAGAAAATAATCAAGTCAATTCCTTTCTTCAAATGTCTTGGAAAGCAATCACCAAAAATCCAATGCCTCTAATGGTTTGTACCCAAACCCTGACAATCAGAACACTTGATGAGAGAGGAGAGGAGTTGGAATTTCGGTTATTCCTTTGGCATAAGTGATGGACAAAAATGAGGAGCCAAGAGGCTCTATTTATAGTTGATACAAGGAGCCGTGGAAACCCTAATTTGAATATACTATTAATATTTCAAATTAGGTAATTATCCACCTCCCTAATTATTCTTAATAAATATTCCAGAAACCCCTAATAAGCCTCATAAAACCGTCCAAGGCTTAGGAAGGTTCTAGAATACCTTCTTGTTCAACTATTAAACAATTACAGCTTAAGTTCTTTCACTTTTAATTAAACTAATTAATCCAAATATTATTTCTAATTAATTTATGATTAATTCTTAACTAAATAATACTATTTCTAATTAATATATTAACAAATTATTTATTGCTATTTATTAATCATATAATAAATCAATAAATCAGTATCTCTTTCCAAAAGTAATTCTTGTCAATTAGTAGTTTTGAGGGCAACCCAAAAGGACTTTGCTTTTAATTTAAGTATATACCAATTTATTTATTGGCTTAGACACCTTAATCTAACTGTTTCTTCGTAAGTTCGCGCGTTTCTCGCTAAGGATTGAAATCAATATATGTGACGGTAGACGATCGTCTACTTTGAGTGTCGTTTCAGTGCTACAAGGGATGAAGTTCGATTAGAAGTTTTTGATCAATGAATCATGCGCCTGTTTGTGGAGACCTTTAGATTTCTATATGCAAACCTCAGTAAGGGATATGTGGCGGCTAGAGCAAAAAGGAGTAGGCCGAAAGGATCCTTAAGGGGTCTTTAGGTTGTTATGGAATAATGAGTAATGACACATTTCGAGGACGATATCTATATTAAGTGGGGGGGGGGGGGGGGGGGGGGGGTTGTAACACCCGTTTCCCGATTTGATCAACTAAAGACTTAAGGAGTTCAAAGATGAGGTTTTGGGGGAAAAATTGTGTCACGACGTGGTGGGATGATGACCACGACGTGGCCATGACTCATTATTAAAGAAACACGTTCAGGTAAGTTTCCACGACGTGGAAAGAGGATGGCCACAACAGGGTGGTTGTTGCAGCCCAAGCCTAGGATTACTCCCATGCTTAAGGACCTTAACTCTTGGATTAGGTCATTTCCTTCAGCCTCCATCTTCCCATTTCAAAACCCTAGCCTCCTTTCCATGGTTTTGAGCTTGGTAGTTGATCTTGAGCTTTTCTTCTTGATTTTGTGAAGCTTGAGGAGGAAGAAACTTCATATTGGTGCAAGGAAGCAAATAGTTAGCTTAAATCCTTCATCTCCTTCATATTCCTGAGCCATTTTAGGTATAGAGCTTGCACTTGGATCTTTATTCTTTTAGATTCAAGTTATTGCTCTTTTTGGATGATTTGTTCTCTTTCATGAATGCTCTTGGAGTTTGAGGAACTCCAGAGCTTGTTATGGCACTCTAATGGTCATTAGACTTCTGTTGAGAAAGAAAAAGGTCCTAGCTTGGGTGTTCTTAATCCCATGAACAAAGATTTTAGCCTTTAAAGATTTACTTGGACCTAGGTTTAGAGATCTTGCATTGTGGTAATGTCTTATTGAATAAAGTTGGAAACTTTATCCACTAAGTCACGAGGAAGAACCAGATCTGAAATTATAAGCTTTGATTTGTAAGGATTAATATCTTAATGATAAAATTGCTTTCTAGCAATTGTATGAAAGACCAGGATTTGGCCCCTGACATTGGCAAGGAAAGACTATGATTTGGCCTATGGCAGGATGTGACTATAAGACTATGATTTTAAATATAACATTCACTTGGGGTTGGAGTAGACCCGTTATTTCATATATATGATTATTATGTTTGTTATATGCATGTGGATATGAGAGTTGGCAGGTCGGCGCTATAGTCAAGGACTTTATGTAGATGCATTGTATATATGATGAAATATATGGTATATTGGGGAACTCACTAATCTTTATGCTTACAGTTGTGGATTAAATGTTTTGCAAGTTGTTCGTGAAATGAACTTGGTGGGACTATACACACGCATCGAAGATATTGTTTTCAGCTGTTTTGTATCTAAACTTTGTTAACATTATGGTTTTCAAATAAATGAATGTCACTTAATGATTTGAAGTATAAGGTTTTTAATTAGTTAATCTATTTTAAATGAAAAATATCTTTGTAACTTTTAGGACGTTACACGTGTTCTACTTTTCTAGTGTAAAGTAAAAATGTTTTTGGAGTTCATTTTGTATCCTTTTATTTATTGAGTTTGACAACCTAACAATAATTGTCTCAATTTATGAATCCAAACTAATTTCTAGTTTTTTATTTCTAAATCAATCACCACTGCTTAGGTAACTATCGGAGTCGAAGGTCCAGAGGAACCCTAAAATTAATAGTGTCGTGGATGAAGAAGTTAAAAGCTTCAAGAAAACCCCATAAACAAAATAATGGAAATATGGCTTTAGAACCAAAAATGCTCCTTGTAATTCAAATCATTTTTTGAACTGAAAACATAATTACAGAACCGAGCAAGGTTCCCACGAAGGTGAATTGTGAAAAATCAGCTAAAATATCCCAAAAATACAGACCAAAAATTTCGTTTTTAATTATTAATAAAACCATAGTTATCCAAAACCCATGTCATAATATCTCAAACATCATATCAATGTATATCAAAACATCAGAGTATAAATATCCCAGGCTGAACAAATGGTGTGTGCACTGCAATCATCCCGAGCCCTTCCCCTTGCCACCGGAAGTACCTAAAACCAAAACTGAAAACTGTAAGCACGAAGCTTAGTGAGTCTCCCCAAACTACCACATACCATACACAAAACATGCAACTAGGAGATACGGGCCCCGCCCACACTCATGGAGATACGGGCCCACACTCCGCTAACTGGGAGATATGGGCCCCACCCACACTCCGCTGACTCTGAGATACGGGCCCCGCCCACACTCAGCTACTAGGAGATACGGGCCCCGCCCACACTCGGCTACTATAAGATACGGGCCCCGCCCACACTCAGCTGCAATGAGATACGGGCCCTGCCCACACTCAGCTACTAAACATACATACAAGTATCACACAAACAACAAGTATAACTAATTCTATCAATCAGGCACATATCCATAATCAAACTAGGCTATGAGATACGGGCCCCGCCCACACTCAGCTAACTGGGAGATACGGGCCTCACCCACACTCAACTACTAACATAATCATACTGCGGGCCGGCCTTGGTGTCGTAGACCCGTTCCTACTGAAGGAAACTCACCTCGCAAGGCTGACTGCTGAAAACTCGAGTGAGGAATCTCTGACTGCAGCTCCGGCGACTCCCCGTCTATCAATTTCATAATAACACTTAATCAAAATCTGATAATCCTTCCTAGGGTAAAATGACCATTTTACCCCTGGTCAAAGTCAACACTTGGGTCAAAGTCAACCTTCTGGTTAACCCAACTAGTCGAGTCCTAGATCCTGAAATCGCGATCTAACTCGTCGAGTCTCCCCCTGACTCGTCGAGTTTCCAGGCTACTCACAATCGCGATCTACCGATTTAACTCGCCAAGTCCCTTCACCGACTCATCGAGCTCTTTCCTTAAGCTAAAAAGAGACAACCCAAAACATCTCGTCGAGTCCCTCTATGGACTCGTCGAGTTCCCTTGTCTGATTGAGCCATCTCAATGGATTAAGCTCCTGCCCTTCAGATCCAAGCTCCAAAGTTCGTCTACACACTGGGAATACACTTTTAAGGGTAAAGTTTCCAACTTTACCCGCTCTTAGTCCTTCTTAATGGGTTTAGCTCAAACCCTAACTCTCTAGAAAATAGATCTTGGTCCACAAGCCATAATACCCTAAACCAAGGCACACTATACTAGATATAGGCTCTGAACATCAGTTGGACACGTGAAGTTCCTAGCTTTCCTTCCATGAATGGCCTCTTAGGGCTAAAAAGGCCATATTAATGCTTATAAGCTTGCATGGGGCTTCCATGGTCATAAAGTTTGCACCTTTATGCCATGGAACCCCTTCTAGATCCCAGATCTGAAATATAAATCACTTGGGACATCCAAATCCCAAAGACCAAGGTTCTTGAACCAAAACCCTCATAAAATGGAAGTAAATAGATCTAAGAAAAGAATGATCCAGTTAGAGACTTGATTACCAAAACATGTAGCAAATGGAGTGTAGCTTATGGATCTACTCCTTCCCTCTTGAGCCTTCTATCTTCTTCTTCTTCCACAAGGTTCAAAAGTGCACAAAGATCACTCCAAATGGCTCACACACTCAAGGGAGGCTCTAGGGTTTTGTGGATTAGGGTTTAGGACAAGGAGGTTGTAAATGAGGCCAAGGGGTGGGGATTAAGATGCTTAAATAGGGTGCAAAACCCCGAAATTAGGGTTTCACTCAGCCAGGCCTACTCGCCGAGTCCAGAGCTCTTGACTCGTCGAGTAGGTGACTGAATCCCGCGTCCAAGACTAACTTCTACTCGACGAGTCTGGGGCTTCCAACTCGTCGAGTAGTCTTTCAAACAAGAATAATTTGTAAATAAATGCGTACCAGAGTCTGGGCGTTACATCAGCAATCGTTGATAGCCTAAAAGTTCCATGTATCTATAAAAACTGAAAACTATAATGATAAAGAAAATCAAGTTAACTAGTACCTTTCTGATGAACAATTGAACGACCTCCGTGACCTAGAGCTAACGATAGCTTCTTAACTACCACTACCTCAGTGCACAACCGAACCATTCAGCAACACATAGCACACCACTAGTTTTGGCTCTCCATCTTCGTTTAATCTAATGTTCTCTAAATTAAACCCAATCACCTAGGTCATACACTTCACCTTCACCGATAGTAACTTGGTTTGCTCACCGACATGCCCAAATGAGTTAAAATCATCTGCCACGTTGTTGTTTGTAATTCTAAAAAACGTAGAAACCTTGATCGATATTCAGAAGAGATGTGTGTGTGTGTGAGAAAGATATATATATATATATATATATATATATACATATATATATATATATATATATATATATATATATAGAGAGAGAGAGAGAGAGAGAGAGAGAAAGAGAGACGATTGTTTAGATTCGAGTGGATAGCAGTTGGAATTTTCTGTAATACCTTTTTTTACTAAAGAAAAATTCACATCATCAATGGAGACGGGTTCTTACAAGTCATGTCTTTTTTTGGCGGGTAGTATAGAGTTTTTGTCTGTAGACCATCTCCAACCCTTAACATTATTTTTTTACACTATATCTATAATTATAGTGTAAAAGATAGTTTATACACTAAAGTCTTTCAACCCATTACGATATATTTAATACTAAAAAGAATATTCTAAGTATATTGTTTTTTATTCAACACTATATTTAGTATAACACTAAAATCCAACACTATATATAGTGTCACACTAAAATCCAACACTATATATAATGTTAGCTATAATGTATGGTCAGAGAATTATAGTGTAATTTATAATGTAAAAGTGATTTTTTAGTGTAGGGTTGGAGATATCCTTAAACTACCAAAAAACCTATAAGAGATCTTTTTAACCAAAACAAGATAGTTTGTAGGGCTTCAGCGATATTATATCAATAATAATCATACGCAATTATATAATACTTTGGATTATTTCAAATAAAATATTGAATATATAACATAAGCTTCAAAGATGAGATATATAGCAACTAATAGCATTTCGTAACAAATTAATAAGGTTTAATAGCAATCATGCACATGTAATGTCCTTAAAACATTTACTAACATGTATAAACATTTGTAGATAGCATCTTAACTACTTAATAACTTTTTGGTTCGCAAATTAATTTACCCATTAAAAATGTTTCACTCTTTATAACAATGACAGTAGATTTTTTTATTTTTTGTTTCGACCTTTTTCGTCGACTAAAATGATTTTTTGTACATTTATTTGCAGGAACAAGTCTTGATCTGATAACTACTATTGACTTATTGAGTATGAGGTGTTCAGTAGTGTATTTAATGATATTGTGATAAAATAAAATAATTTGAGATATTATTGAGAGTCGTATACTGAATTATTACTGATTGATTCAGAGATGGATATTTAAGGAAAGTGTACAACCCCAAGTTGAAGTGGAAATGACTATGGGGTAAAAAGTGGATTCCTTTCGTATATTTTCTGAAATCCGAATCTTGATACAAAAAGTGAATGACATTTGTAAGTTTGACTTCAATTACGGTTTTTTACATTTAACTTTTTTTATAGACCTAAATAATTATACTTTTTTTCACAAAAAAAAAAAAAAAAAAAACCTTATTTTTATCTATTATTAGTATTATTTTAGTTTTGAAACCAGCTACCAAGACTTTTTTTGAAAAAAATATGTCTAAAAAAATCAAAATATAAGATCTTTTATAAAAAAACTCTTGATTTTATATCTTTTAAATTTTAACAAATATTATTATAAAATTTTCTTATAAATAAAAACTCTCAGTTTTATTTCTTATAAATTTTAACAATTATTATTATAACTTTTCTTAAACATACACATAGTTAGACAAATTTCATGGGTAAATGAACTGCAAGTGAAAGTAAAAGTCACACTAAATTACAAGAAAATTTCAAAAATAAATAAATTAATAAGATTTTACTTTCGAATTTTACCCATCTGCATTATAGGAATTAGATCGCTTTAAAGCTGGAAATTCGTCCTTTTTTGTCTCGATTAAGCTCCCGCTGAAATATTCTTTATCTTCCATCATTTTTTTACTTCCCTTGTTTTTTCTTTCAGGAACGACAGCATTTTCACTTGTTGTTTCCCCTGCACCCTCCTCCACTTGATCATTCACCTCTTCTCCACGTGGCAGCATACATGCCTTGTACTGTGAACCGAGCGAAAAACTCGGGTTTCTTTTTCCCGGTCCACAATCCCGGAAAGATATTGAACCGCAAGAAATCAGCTGCATCAGCACCGATGGTGCTTTGATTTTATTTCCGGCCGTTGGATTGATCGTGGAGATCATCTCTGACTCTGTTTCTGGCCTTAGGATTAGTTTATCATCGGATTTCATCAACGACTCTAGGGTTTCCGGGCTAGAATCCGACGGCGGTGGTGAAATCTCGTTGCGGCTTAGCTCGGAACTCGCGTTGTCTTGATACGATTCGTTTGGTTTATCTTCTTCTTCGAGTTCGCTGATCATCGCTCTCCGGCGACGGAGGCTTTCGTCGGTTTGAGTGGAGGCGTCGGCAGCGACTCTACCGGCGGAGGACTCGCCGGTGTAGACTTTGTACTCATGAAGATCGATTGCACTCCATGATTGGTTCCTCCTGCTCCTGCCAACTGAGAAATCAAACTCGTCGATGGATTTTAATGTCCCGGAAGACGATGATCTTTTCGAAATGGATGAAACATTTTCGTCGGATTTGGAACTGAACTGGGTGCCACCGCCGGGGACGTCGAAGAGCTCCGATCCTTTCAGAATATACTCTTGGCCGTGCGCCGGGTAAATAAAATCATTCTCCGACAAATCGTGCCAAACGAATCCGTTTTTATAACTCCTAAACCACAGAGATACAATCAAATCAAATCAAATCAATTCCGCTGTTCATTGAATCATGATAGTGATTACAATTTGAAATCAGAATTATGACTAACCTTTTAGAAGACCATGAGTACAACGCAGCCATTCCTTTTCCACGTAGAGAATTAAGGCGATCGATTACATCTAAAATTCCAAAACAAAATTCAATAACTAGAACACGTAATGGATATTGAAAAATCGAAGTTTACCTCGAAGATAAAGTCCTTCAGAGGAGGAGATAGGAACCTCAACGAAATGAGGATGTTCGAGGTGGCCATTACGAGTGAGGTAGTAAACAACAGGTACTTTACGGAGTCTGTTGTGAGGAGGAGGAGGTTCGATCCAGACTTTTGTCCGTTCAGGGCTGCGTTGATCGGCTGTGTTGTGGTGTTTCTGTTTCCACTTGTTAGACATGTGGTGGAGCTCTGTCGTCGTCCTGGTTGATTTCGGGATGACCTCCATTTGAAGTTTGAAGGAAGGAGGGAAAGGCGGAGAGAAGATTTATTCAAAATGTGATGCTGGAGACAATGCACTAAGAAACAAAAGGAGGAGGACTGGAGGAGGAGATGAGACTGGTGGTGGTTGTCGTTTATCCGTTGCTACTGAATCCATAGGCCATATGGTGGTGTTTATGTATGTATACTGTAGGTTTGTAGGTAGCTGGGGGTTTAATTTTGATTGACATGTGAATAGAATTCATTTTATTTTATGTTATTGTCTATTGTATATTGATTGACTTGTCAATGAAATTCATTATTCAACCTTTTTAACAACTATAGTTTTTGATTTCTTATCGATGCATTGATATTCGCACCGTACGTTTTTTTTTATCATAACTTTAGACTTCTACGAAATTTTATGTTGGTTGTGAAATTTGAAATTTTCAATTGCTATATATTTTTTTGAGAAATTATGTTTTGATTGAGAAATTTGAAAATTTGAGTTCAATAATCCTTAGTAAATGCATTCAAAATTGGATATTTAATTTTTTTTTTTTGGAATAGTTTGATTTTGATAACTGAAAAATCCAGAATATTGGATATACAAAACTTTAGGATATATATACTGAGATATCAAATAATAGAGATAAAAATGGGATGTCTGTGTCGTATTTTTAGTTGACACGAGACGACAATTTTTGTGTAAAACGAACATGAACGACCCAATGTTGTGTATTTTTTTTGAAAGAGAAATGTCTACACAATGTCGTGTTAGGTTTCAACAAAACAAGTTAAACTCTTCAAACAAATATCAAAACAAACTTCGGTGAACTTGCAGAACTAAGACTTCAAAAAAAGAACATAAATCAAAGGAACACAATATTTAACGTGGTTCGGTCAAGGTGACCTACGTCTACGGGCGAACGAGAGAGGGGATTTTATTAGCTTTGTGGAACTATTACAAACACTCAAAATTATATCTTACTTTGAGCTCTCATAGAAATCTAGCAATTTTACAATGATGAGAATATGAGCATATTTATAGGCCAGCATGAGAAACCTTAATTATGATTGGACAGTCCCATCCATAATTAGCCCATAAAGGCGTTGCCCTGAATTTCAACCAATCAAGTAATGTCATGTGGGTGCTTCTAGAATCTTCAAACACATGAGGATCTTCCACGAGCATCATATGCGAGAATCTTCCATGAGCATCATCCGCGAGCATCTTTCATGAGCATCATCGCGGGTAACTTCCATGAGCAACATCACTTGAGCAACTTCCATGAGCAACATCGTGTGAGCAAATTCCATGAGCAACATGTTGCTCCAAGTGCTCCAATTTGCTCCAAACTCCCCTTTAGACGATCTGTTCCTTTAGCACTTGATATGTTTCTTTGTCAGGTGATTCAATGCCTTCTCAGATGATTTGTTCATTTGACACTTGCTCCATGAACCCTAAGTGCTCCATTGAGTTCTAAGTGCTCCATTAAACTCAAAATGATCCATCCAAGTGTTCCACTTGATTCTAAGTGCTCCATGTTAGACAAGACTTCATATCCCAACAATCTCCCACTTGAAGGCTTCAACAACTTTATCTGCCATTCAAATTTCGCCATTCCTCAAAGTACTCTCTCTCTCTCTCTCTATCTATCTATATCTCTCTCTGCCAAGTCCTTATCTTTAAACCTCTGGAAGGCCATTTGAAGCTATGCAAAGCTTCAACTTCTCAGTGGTAACTACCTTGGTGAACATATAAGCTGAATTCTTTGTGTAGCATCTCAAAATCATGACTAAAATTTTCATTTTTCAAACCATTCCAAAACCTATAAGCTACATAAAAACATAGTTTCTCAAAACCATAAACATGAATAAGAGTATCCCAAAATCATAAGTCATATAGAATCTAGGATGATGTGCACAATCACGCCTTCGCCTTGCCCATGTCCTATGATATACCTGAAACCATAAAGTTAAACTGTAAGCCAAAGCTTAGTGAGTTCCCTCAAAGTACCCCATACACAAACATATAACAACATGCATATTGGGCCCATAGCCATCGGGCTTCATTACCCTTGGGTCCACAGTCATCAGATTGGATTATCCCTTAAGCCCACAACATAAGTTTGGATTGCCCTCCCGACCCTCAGCTTATGTCTGGATTGCTCCCAAGCCTACATCATAAGTCTGGAATGCCCTCCCGACCCTCAACTTATGTCTGGATTTCTCCTAGATTTGTTGGCTTCCGCATAAAGCTTTATTGCCTCGACCCAACCATATTATCTCGATATATACAAAAAATAAATGTATAGCTAGCAAATAGATAATCATATAACCAAAAACCGACAAATAGACATATCTATAGATTACTACAACATAACAACATCTTATATACCAGGATACATCATCCAACATAGTGGGTCGGCCTTGGTGCCTTCGACCTATGAGTAAAGTGAGGAAAACTCACCTCAATACCCAAAAGATAGTTGAACTGAATGTTGCTCTAGGTACCGACTCTACGGGTCACCTGTACAACACAGGGACCAAGCCTCAATATACTACTCAAAATACCCCAAATGACCTAAAGTCAAACTTGGTCAAAGTCAACAATCAACGGTCAAAAGTCAACCTCCAGCTGGTCGCCACGTCATGGCTATCTTTGGCCACATTATGGCTGCTAAACAACAAGGCAGACGGGTTCCTAACCAGTCGCCACGTCGTGGCAACCTAAGGCCACGCCGTGCAGACTGGTCTGGACAGCTTAATCCATTAAACCATTTCATACAACTTCAAGAGCTCCAAAGCCTAGATCTGGTCCTTACCATGGTCTTGATGGATAAAGTTTCCAACTTTATCCATTAAGACTCCTCAACAAGTCAAGATCCCAAACCTTAATTCCTTAAGGATGACTAAATGCATAAAGACACTAATTAAGCACCCAATCTCCAAAATTGCTGACCCAAAGTTTCCAGAAGGGATTCTTACTCCTAATAAGACCTAAAAATTGTAGCTTTATGAACATGCATGTCCAATGCATGTTCCTTCTATTTTAGGTCAAAATCATGGCAATAAGGACTTAAACTTGAGCATGGAACCAAAAAATACATAGATCCTCAGATTTGGAGCATATGACACTAGAATAATCACATGGATCCATACAGTTGCCAACTTTATGAGATCCAACCCTCCAATTTCTCACACCATGAAGATTTAGGGATAAAAGAGCTAGATCTAGAGATAAATAACATAAAGATTGGATATTGGGGACTTACAAAAGTCTAGAAACATGTTCAAGGTAGATGGGGAGAGTTGCTTGGTGAAAAAAAGCTTAAGGGTGCCTTTTTGTAACGCCTGGATCCTAGTATATATTTAAATTACTATTTATTCAAATTATATGAGCAACTCGACGAGTTGGAAGCCCCAAACTCGTCGGGTAGAGATCATATGGGCTGCGTGATTTAAGTAACCTACTCGACGAGTAGACCGGCTGGGATGAAACCCTAATTTCTAGGGTTCTGCACCCTATTTAAAGGACTTAATATTTTCCCACCAGCCCTCATCAGCCTCCCTAAAACCCTAAATCGTATTGTGAGCTCCTTGTTGAGAAACTAGAGGTTTTGAGTGGATTTTTGTGTGTTCTTGTGCTTGGTGAAGGACTTGGAAGAACTAGAAGGTCATTGAGCTTGAGGAGAAGCACTAGATCTGGGATCTCGTCCGTCTTTGGCAACTTTCTGAGGTAAAAAGTCCCAAACTTGATGATTAATAGCTTAGATCTATATTAGTGTTGTTTTATGGATCTTTTTGATGCCATTGATGGAGCATGATAACCTTCATAGTCATGATGCTACAAACTCCTATTCTCAGTGTTACTTGGTCCTTAGATTCATAAAAAAGGTCCTGAACCCGTTCTTGTCCAAGAAAAGACCATATCCATAGAAGTAGGTTGCTATATCTCGAGATTGGGTCCATTTGAGGCATGCAAAGCCATCAAGTTGTCGACTTTACAGATGTATGCCATGGAAACAACATAGATCTATATTCTGGAACCTTATATATGAGGAAATGGCTTAATAGACTAAGAACTATGAGTAACTCGGCGAGTTCATGGAGGAACTCGGCAAGTTGGGTCGAACATTCCCGATTTTGTTGAAGGAACACGGCGAGTCCACAAGGGAACTCGACGAGTTGTACTGGGAAAGTCCAGTTTCGGTTGAGAAGGAGAAACTCGACAAGTTGGAGGAAAGGTCGATGAGTTAGATCGCGAGTTCACGATTCTGTGATTCATGGGAACTCGACGAGTTGAAGGGTAAACTCGACGAGTTGAGTCAACTCGGAGCGGTTGACTTGACGTTGACTTTGACTTGACTTTAACTTTGACTTGACCAGAGTTGACCCTTAAGTGTTATGAGTATGGAATGGTATCTAAGGGTTTTTTTTTGATTCAGGTAGTGTATAGAGCTGAATCCGGGGCAGTGACGTTTCAGCTATCAGCTGACAGTGAGGTGAGTTTCCTCCTGTATAAACGGGTCGAAGGCACCAATGTCGGCCCGTATATGTATGTTAGTACGTTCCGGACCAAGGTCCGATGCCGGGTAGTGTCACACCCCCAAACCGGAACGGCGGAAACGTTCGGGGGCGGAGGACAACATGTATAGTATCACAGGACATGTATCATAGTAATCAAAGTAACAAACAACCATTTCATTAGAAAGAAAGTGTTTACAAAGTATGTGGTTCACATAAGATAGACTACAAAGTAAATAACATAATAAAACATGAAGCTATACTGCTCCATCTTCAGAATCCCAGCACGCGTACCTGTCTACTAGTTTCCTGAGAATACAAGTTATTTTGAAAGAGTAGATCAGCATTTAAGCTGGTGAGTTCATAAGTGTTTAAGTGATGTATTAGTAACTTGAAAGCTCTTTTAGAAAAGTTCGCCTGTTCCTCAGAAGATCCTATACCTTCTGATATGATGAAAGATAAGTATAAATGACTCTACAATCCTTTCTATGAGTACTAAATGAATATAAGTTATATAGAATATAGATCAAACAAACAATCGATTGTGTGAATCTGCCCTAAGCCCACAACCAAACAAGGAACAGGAAGTAAGGCGGAAAGCACACATCCCATTGTTTGTTAGATCTTCATTGCATATAACTTTGGTGCATTCCTTTGGTACTCACGGAGTTAACTGTAATAGTTCCTTTAGTAAAAATAGTATCCAA